TCTGATAGCCAGAACAGCCTTTACATTGCAGCTGTCCTGCTTTTAAACATTCCCTGCTAATGTAGCCACACCCACTGTACAAATATCAACCTATGAGGTTGCAGAGATAAGGTCCAATCACATTAGTTCCCGCTCAGGGAGCTTGCTTGAAGTGATTGGCTTGTTACTTCCTGGGCTAGCAATACTAATGGATGGATTTGGATCCTAGCCCAGGATGAAGCTTAACATTACAGTTCAGTTAGATGTTTCACAAAATGTCATGCATTCAAGGCAGCTTTGAATACACTACGGTAGGTTAGGCTGAAGTTCATTAATTAAACTTGGTTGGTCTTAAAGGTGCCAGGGGACTCGTATGTTGTTCTGTTGCTTCAGACCAACATGGCTACCCACCTGAATGTATCTCCAAGGCCACCCAGTGAGCTTCCCTGGCAGAGTTGGGACGTGAACCTAGGTTTCCCAGATCCTAGTCCAACACTTTATACCATGCTGGCTCATTTGCATCCAATGCTGTCATCATTCTCTACCCCATTTGCCGGGAGAGGGGAAAGGGAAGATGGTAGTTGGCAAGGACAGATGACACAACAGGAGGAGGGGTGTTCGATCACACCCTCCTTACTGTAACCTGGCTCCAGCTGCATTGCTCATGTGTGCCAGCACTTCATCCCGGTCATGTATATCAATCACAACTGCAAACGCAAGATGAATCCACAGTTATTTGGGGAAAGGATTGCTGCAGTGACACTGACTGTGTTCAAAGAGAGGAGGTCCATTGTTTTCATGGTCAGGCTGCCTGACAAGTCTTGCTTTCACTAATGCTTTCAATTAGCTTCATTCTCCCCGTCTGAAGATACTGGATCTCTCACAAAACAGTTACAGATGGTATGGATTTGTGTTTCATTTGGCTCATGCGTTGGGTGATTCAGAGCCACACCTGAGGAGTGTCTATGGGAGAGTCAACATACAAGCTGAGGCACATGTTTGATTTTCATAGGCTTTTCTCACATGTAAAAACAACCACCCACATTTTGCAGCCTTTTCACTTCTTTATTTGCATTCATTTGTCTCAAATGCAAAAGGGTTCTTGACTCCTCCGTTTTATTTCTGTTCTTTTCATCCACACAGTGGAAACCATTCCAGGTATTCAGGATATGATCAGACATTTTCAGTTTTTGATACTTTCCCCACTTGCTGTATTTAGCAGCAATTTCATAGTATTTTAACTTCTTTGAGGTCCCATGGGTATGTGTGATTTACTGAAAGAAATAAGCAGACTATGTAACCCCAACGCTAACTGAACCCCTTCCCTCCTTCCATCACATGGCCAGCTAAACTTCTGGTATATCTGATATACATGACAAAAACATACTAACATAAGAGCAGCCTTGCTGGATCAGACCAGTGGTTCCATCTAGTCCAGCAAGCATCCTATCTCATACAGTGGCCAACCAGTTGTCCTGGAGGGCCGACAAACAGGGCATAGAGTGAAGCCTAATATGGACTAGGGAAAAAACGGTAATCATTTTTGCTTAAGGTTGCCAATCCCTTGGTGGGGCCTGGAGATCTCCTATAATTACAACCGATCTCCAGAATACAGAGATTGGTTCCCCCGGAGAAAATGGCTCCTTTAGAGGGTGGACTCTATGGCATTATACCCCACTGAAGTCCCTTCCCGCTCCAAATTCTGCCTTCCAAGTGCTCCACCCCCAAAATATCCAGGAATCTACCAACCTGGAGCTGGAGCCCTATCCAGTGGCTTTCGGATGATCTTTGCTCAAAGGAAGAAGCCATCACAGGGAGCTAGTCACCACAAGTGATGTGGCAGTCCCTCTCCTGGGCTGGCTGGAATCTCTCTCACTGACCAAGCCCACCCAAATCTAGCTATTGTCACAGCCAGGGCTTTTTTTTTAGAAAAAGCCCAGCAGGAACTCATTAGCATAATAGGCCACACCCAACAGCATAAATGCATTAGCATATTAGGCCACACCCCTTGGACAGGCCAGGGAAGGCACGGGGAGGCATTTAAATGCCTCCCCAGTCCTTCCAGCCCCTCCTAGCCTGCCCACCTCAGAGTTGCGGGGGGGGCTGTTGCTCTCCAGGCCTTCCCTCTGTAGCCACACACACAGTGGTTTTGGCTGAAGTGGGTGTGGCCAACTCTGAAGCCAGCCGGAACTCCGTTCCTGTGCGTTCCTGCCCAAAAATATCCCTGGGTATTGTAGATCCTACTGGGAGGGGGAGCTTTTCTCAAGATTAGATCCTTTTATGAACAATTGTACCCATTTTCTGACTAGGATATATGAAGTCTGGAAGCTGCAATTGAATTGTCACAAGACACTGTGCACATTTCCGCAGTTGGGGGGCTATTTTTGCATTAGTAATGAAACGACAAATAAATATCCCAGCATTGTATATAGAAGCACATTGTGAGGCACACATATGTGTATGAGGGAGTAGTTGTTTTCTTGAAGTGCTCTCTCTCTACCGGCAGGGTGAATACTAATTCAAACATGACAACTACTGCCTGAATTCCAAAGTGGTATCACTTAGGGCAAAGGAAAAGCTACGGTATTTCAGCTTTAATTAACCTAAACAGATAGATTTGGACTCTAATCTTGTAGAATTCTAACAATATATTTAAATAGATGATCCTGCACATTCCTTTTCAACATGACAGAAACTAACAATTTAACATCTAATTCTAATTGCACAAACTTTATTAATAACTATAATACATAGCCAGCTATTGAAAATCATAATAGAATGGTGTGGGTGGGTTGGAGTTAAGCCATGCACAGTGCAATGCTAAATGTCAATGGGCTTAGAAGGGGGCACATAACTCTGCTTGGGATTGTGTGTGTGTCTCTTAAGTACCATCAAGTGTCTTCTGACCTATGGCAATTAATGACATCCAAAATATCTTGCACTATTATAACTATTTAACATTGCTCCATTAGTTATCATCTAGTAAGACATAGCATTGCGGGCCTGTTTCTCACAGTGGCAAAAAAACAGAAGACCTTTGTCACATCTTCTCAGTTTCTCAGAAAGTATCTGAAATTGCTTGTAGTACAGCAATGCTTCTTATGCACAGATATGGGGGGGGGGGGGGTGTTCTCCCAGACTCCATGATCCCTGATAAAACCAGATTAATTCTCTCTGAATTAATGTTCAGAATAAAGAAAAGGTTTGATAAACTCTGGTATACTGAAACTAGTTACCAATGGGCATAGTTGTCATGTCATTTCCCCATGACCATCATTTAATCCTTTAAGGGAGCTTTCTAATTCTCTATGTTCGGTACAGACTATTTTTTCCCCTTTCTATATCAGCATTCAGTTTATGATAGAGGTACTGTGGTACTTCTTAGAAATTGTGGTGTAATATCTGCTTCCATGAAAGGACCGTAATAATGATTTTAACCATGATACCATCTTGTTACAGATTTTTATTCAAGTATTGACTTCAGAGGAAGGCTGTGTAGTTTATTTAAAGGTAAATGTCAGAATTAAAAGATACAAATACAAAAAAGCAGAAACTTTAATAAAACGTTATCTTACATAACTTTGCTTACACTGTAGTGTACACCCTGATAATAACTTTTAGGTGACAAAAGTTCATTATAGGGTTTTCAACCCCCAGGTGAGGCCTGAAAATTCTCCAGAATTACAACTGATCTCCACACTAGAAAGATCAATTCCACTGGAGAAAGTGGCTGCTTTGGAGGGTTGATTATATGGCTTGACACCCTACTAAGTTCCCTCTCCAAGCTCCACCCCCCCCCCCAAAGCTCCAGGAATTTCCCAACTTAAGAGTTGGCAACTCTATTGCATTATAAATTTGGCAGGAAGATGGGTTGTTTGTATATATAGGTATATATTCCACATCAGTTAAAATAAGGGTTACTTAGGACACTACCCCAAATCACATGTTAAAATTGTGTGTAATGGTGTCAAGAATTTCGCCAGTCATCTCTGCAATGTGGGTACAAAAAGTGGTACAGGAAGCTTTATGAGCTGGATGCTTCAGGCTTGCACTGGACAATCTCCACATTACAAAGAACCATGTTTGCGGCCATTGTCTGATTCTGCACATGCATTTCCGTAGTGCTGACAAGTAAAAGATCAGTAATAGAGCTGAATTAAATTTCTTTTAGTGTCTCTAAAACTCATTTTCCAATGATCAGTATAACTGATGCTCTAAGACAGTAAAACTCCCACCCCTTCACCCATTCAGCCTTGTTCACACGTTACAGTGAATGCACATTCAATCCATTTACACTGTATATGTGAACTAAGTAATTCACATGTTTCAACAACTGTACCACAGAATAGGAGATATTAAGCCTATATTTATCTAGGTAGTAGTTCTCAGTTTCAGTATTCATAAAGTGTACACACATTGGCTCATTTTTGCAAGCAGATGTATGCACGTGCAGGCAGGATGTATGTCCATTCACTGTACTATATGAACAGGATTAAAGATACTTCAGAAGAAAGGCATTTACCTGCAATATACAAGCATCATATTGAGAAGGAATTAACACTTATAGATGTCAGGAGCTCAGATGTCAAGATAATTCAATAGTTCAGTCAGATAACTGATTTGATTTTAATTAATATAGTTCCCTGCCACACGGGGGGGGGGAGGACGGGCAAAGTGCGGCTTTTTAAAGCCGCACCAAAAGAGACACGTGGCAGCGGGATCACATAGACCCCCTGAGCCGCCGCGCACTTCCTCCCCGGCACGATCAGATGCCGGGGGGAAGCCACAGAAAGAAGAGCGCGGCAGCCGAACTGCGCATGTGTGCGCATGCGCAGTTTGGCGGGGAGCCGGGATTGATACGTACAATGGGCGCGGCGGTGATCCCATGGCCGCGCTTGCTGCGGTGCTGCAGGTAAGTCCTCCTCTGTAGGAGGTTCTTTTTTGCAGCGGGTTTTCCGGGGTTAGGGACGGATCGGGGACGGGTGCGCGCTGCTTCCCAGATTTTGCGGTGAGATAGCGCCCGTTTGCTGCGCCCCCAATCCGTCCCTCTCCCGGCCCAAAACCTTCCGTGTGACCGGGGCCATACTAGGGCAAAACAATTGTTTCATATCATAATGCTGATGATATTGGCTAAATAATGCTGCCACTGACACATTATTTCTTCTTTGACAAATCATATGAAATTCACTGCTCAACACAAGAGATCTACATTTATAATGATGTGATATTTATAATAACGTCATAAGTACAATTCGGTTTTTCTGGAGACAGAACAGGTTGGGTTAAATGTATAACACATTTGGTTGCACCAATCTTAACTGGATCATGGATTAATCTTCTCTACTTCAAAAAGACAGCTGTAGTGTGACCTGCTCAGAAAACACAACTATAAAAGCTTTGTTGTTCCAGCCCCCTCTGGGGAGTCGGAGAAGAAGTATAATGGCGCAGCTAACTTACAACAAACATAAATCAAGATTTCCTATTTTAACACATTTAAAAGTCCGTAATGTGTTTTTCAAAGTTATGAACTCTCTGTACCACATTTTAGTACTAATCATGTATAGCCAGGTGGGTGTTCATAGGGATTCAAGGGAAAGTTTTCCTCTGTATACATCCTTGGAAGCCAAACATCCAAGGAAGCAAAAAAGGTGGACTTCGTGCTCTTGGTAACAGTTATATCATATCAGGATAATAATAAGGTTTGACATTGCCCAAAATATGGTCTTCATAGAGGGGGAGGCAGCAAAAGAAGAACCCAAGACATATTGCCATAATACACATGGTCCATCCAAAGCCATAGGACCAATCAAGCTGAGTAACCGCACCAGCTGTGGCAGGCAAATATCTGTTGAACATTACTGGGTAGATGACAAGGCCCATGAGTGAGAACACCGCTGGGGGAAAGAAAAAGAACAGATGGAAAACTCAGTAAGTAATTTAAAAAAACAAATCTGGCAATATTTACATCAAAGAGATATGATATTCTGAACTAGACCTGACAATAGAACAGCCAAGACAAATAAAAATCAAACATTTAAAATTTAGCAGATGTATTCATATTGCTGTAGAAGTATGCAAACTTTTGAACTGCTCAGAAGCTTTCAATGGGAAGAATGAAAAAGTAGGACCCTCGGATTCAAAGGTCTCCAACCAAAACATGTCTAATAAAGTATATTGTATTATTTTTAGTATCTCATCCTCATCTTATTTCCAAGGGTGTCATTTAGGAAAAGTGAGTCTTCTGTTTCCATAATGTTTCTGGAGTCACACGTTTGTATTCTACTCACTGTTTAAATTGTTATTGTTACGAACAGTTAAATGGATCTATAGGCCAGGAATGCATGTCAAAGTACAAATTCCTTTGCTTATAAAACAGGGTTTGGGTTGCCAACCTCCAAGTGGGGCCCAGAGATCTTCTGGAATTACAACTGCTCTCCAGACTATAGAGATTGTTTATCCTGGAGAAAATAGCTACTTTGGAGGATAGACTGTATGGCATTATACCCCACTTAGGCCACTCCCCTCCCCAGATCCCACCTTTCCCAGGCTACACCTCCAAACCTTGGCAACCCTAAGTGGTGTGTGCACGCACATCTCTTTCTCTCTCTCTCTGTACCTTTGCTGAAA